AAATTTCATGAAATCAAGTAAGAGGCAGGTAACAGATGTAAAAAATAAATAAATATTTTTATCAAGATTTTCTAAAAATAATAATTTTAAAAATAAATTTATTCATTTGTGAATAAGACCTGAAAGATTCATTAAAATCTGACAATTTGATTTTTGCAAGAATTTCCAAATCAATGTGTTATTTTACCAGAAAGGTGCTAAAATTTCCATAGTTCTGTTACATTGTTGACACATAAAAAAAAGAAAGATATTTAACCAAAATTTTGAATGTGTTAGAAAGGATTAAAAAAATTTAAAAAGTAATTAAAATACTTTGGTCTTTTCTCTTAATAATAAACATTTTAATGATAAAACTTTGTTTTTATCAAGTTTGGGGCCTGTTTTTCATCATGATATGCTGTTTTTTCAGCAAATTACTGGTGATACCTATATAAAAGTAATTATCCAAGAGTCATTGAATTTTGGCAAAACTTAGCTCTTGTAATATCACAAAATCAAACATCTTATAAACTTTTATTAATTCTGGAATATCTAAAATGATTATTTGAAATGTTTCAATTTATATATAACCATTTCTAAAATATCATTTCAAAGTGATAGGATTTTTTAAAAAAGAGAATTACCAAACCCATTAATGATTTAGTCAAAGAAATTATCATACAAAGCAAACTATAGCAAATTTGGTCAAATGTTGTATAAATTATACATATGATTTTATACAGCCTACATTGCTTAGATGTTAAATTCCGAATTTCCTCAAGAAGAGATGGGTTGGTTCACAAATAGTTGATATGGCTTACTGAAATTCATTCTTAGATGAAAATTCCTTGTTGTTTATATAAAGGCACCTTTTGATGATTTATTTTTATTTACTTCCTGTTTGAATACCAGTGTTTTCTTTTTTTATTTATGTATGAAGGTTGGTTTTTATGAACTTGATATAAGTAGGAAAGTTAATTTTCATTTCATTAGCAATTACCTCGAAGTCATCAAATGCATAGTCATTGATTCCTGCGTAAGACCAATTTGTCTACGTCTTTGCTGACATCTCATTTGGAGAAGCTTATGATCCTCCATTTAAGTAACATTGATTTTTGCTCTGGTCATCTGACATCATCCAGCACTCAGCTGGACGTAACACCCACCAAATGTATATTTTCAGTTATGTTTTGGTTCAGGTAACCTGTATAGTGAGATGCTTTGGCGTCAGAAGAAGCAAACAGTGGATTTAGTACATGTTCTTAAGCATTTCAAGATGTGCCATCATGGGGCTTTCGGTACATTTAGAGCACCAATGGCAGTAAATAATCCTTTACTTTAGTGAGTGCTTATAGATCACTATCTTAACATGGGTATCTTTTCGCATCTTCTTTTTGTCAGCGTGTCTATTGTCTGCAGTAAAACAATCAGGATAAATTTCTTAGTTGCACAGGAGTTATTTTGCAAGAGTTTTATCAATTTCCAGTTTTTATTTCAGTAAACATTTGAACATATTTTACCTTTTTATTATTACTCATAAATTCTTTGCAACTATGGGGGGGGTAAGCAATATCCCCAATACGGTTGCCAGATGTGCAAAAAAACACTTGGCATTGCAAAATACCAAGTATGCCAATGTTTCCATCCTTTTATTCAAAATTTGTGAAAATCTGTCCAGTCAGTCAAGGTATGTGATTTGCATATAATGGAACATTCTGTAAAGTTTCTAGGAATTTGCTAAAATATTTTCCAATGTCAATTAGAAACCTAATTGTTCTCTACTTTTCAATATGCAGCATCAGTATTTGTAAAGTTTCATTTAATATTCATAGATTCATATGATATTTTAGAAACATATGTAAAGCATTATCTTCCTCAGCTAGGGAGGACACGGCTTTATATTACAATAGTGGGCAGGGTTAGAACATTTAACATTCCAACCATGAGATCCAGGTTCACCATGGTTGATTTATCAAGGAGGTGACTTTTTCATAATGGTGACTTTAGGATTGTTGGGGTGTGCAAACAAAAATAAAAAAAAACAAAAAAACACTCTCACAGTTTGATTTAAAGCTTGTGTAAAATTTGGTATGCAGAAATATTCAGAAGCAGTTGATAGTTGTGCTAGCATGGGGTTGCAAGTCATTGTGATAGGGTTTGACAGTACTTGCCATATTCACCTACTGATTGGTCATGCCAAATTATGCACACTATTAACAAAAAAACTTTAACTAAGGTCTGCCCAGCATAGTTGAAGTACAAACCACAAATTAGCTCTGTGGATGTTGGAAAAATGCAAATGTGCCTGAGCAAGTCTCTGCAACAGGGATTAACTAACCACTCTTGCAGACAGGCATACTTAAAAATGAGCAACCAGCAATAAGTCTTGCTACATTAGAATTATCACCTAAATAGTTCTTTCTTAAAATGACAGGTGATATTGAGATTTAGAGTATTTTGAAATGTTATCAAGTTTGAAAAATATTTAGTAATTTTTACTTTGTGTATTATTATTATTTTTTTCTTAAGCATTGTATTTAAATACATAGTGTTAAGTCATAGCATGATCAGCTAGAGACCCCAGAAATCTACATTTTTTAGGAAGTTGTACATTTCCAAGGCCATATCTTATAGCCAGTAAAACCAAAGAGGCTAAATTTGGTATCATTTGAAAGAGAAATTATTTTACTTATATATATATATATATATATATATATATATATATATATATCTCACTTTAATTGCACTAACATGAATCTATTTGGATTTTTCAACAATTTGGTCTGGACTCCAGGGATTTAACAATTGCAATCCCTTAAAGGTTTATAAGGTTGAGACAGTTCTTGGCTTTTTGATTTTTTGTTCATCATTGTTTTATTGATATTTTGGAATATTTTAAACTTTTTCCTTGAAAACATAAATCCTTTAAGATTTATTGTTGATAAATTTCATAGGAAGACTTACAAAATGTTAGTATAATTAACTTGTCAATGTGAACATTTAGTTTTTTGGCAAAAGATCACTGCTCTTCAAAACTAATTTTTAACTGCACTAGCATATCTGCATTAAAACAAAAACATTATTTCAGCAGTTTACTGAACTCCATGGGTTCAGTATTATTTCTATATTTATTCTTATTTTCTCCTTTTTCTTCCTGATTCATGTTTTGCAGAAAGTGGCCACTCATCTGATTCTGTCAGTTTTATATTGCTATTGAGACGTCATTAAATATTTTGATTTATTATTTTAAATGGATAAAGTTGTTTTTGTTTGGAAGGAAATACGTCACACCCACACTTTACACACTCTTTATTTCTTCTGTTTCATTATAAATATTCCCTTGTTACTATTTTTGCATGTGACACTCGTTCATGTTGAAAGTTGAAAGTAAGTTAGAATATTGACCTTTTGATTATTTTGTCTTTGTCAATGGAACTCAAGAGTTATATCAACATTGGTGAGTGGAAACTTGACTTTTGATGAATGTTCTTAACCCAAAAAGATGACATACTTCATCTTAACAGGTTTTGTTTTCTTATTTTTTCATGAATGCTTGCTATAGCACTTGACTAGACCATGATGTGTCATTACTAAACATATTTCACTGGTAATTTAAGTGATCTAAAAAAAAACAAAAAACATTGGTGTTTAGACAATGGACTATTTGATATATGCAATAGATATATATATATATATATATATATATATATATATAAAATATATATATATATAAATATATATTTGTAATTTAAAAAAATATCTTTTCCATGTGGTGTAATATGACAAAAATATTAGTGCTGTAATTAGGCAATATTTCAACTTGTCATTTTTCTTATCTTTTTTTGTTTCTTTCTAAGCTGAATAATGAACTATATTTAAATTTTTTGTATTAACTAAAATGACTTGATCCAAATGTATTTGAAGTTTTAAAATTATTGTATATCCTTAAATCTAAATATTTGTATTAGGAATTTAGGCTTAAAACAAATACAATAATCACTGGAGATTAATTTCGGTGGAAATATGTTAATATTTGAAATTGTTTCTCAAAAATAAGTGAGTAATTTAAAGTTTTATTCGGAAATGCATAGCAAAAGAGAAAAAAAAAAATATCCTAACCTGAAAAGTGATACCTGACATTTCTTTTCTCAATTAATCAAGAATTAGATTATCATACAAAATCTGATTTCATTCAAATTTCTCTCTCTCCTGCAAATACTTTTGCCTGATTAAAATATCTTGTTAATAATCTTTTTTTTTTTTTTTTTTTTTTTTTTTTACATGAATTCAGCTTTATGTGAAAAATATTCTTTAATTTGAAAATGTTATTTTGGCAAATAAAAAATCTAAATGAACAGTGATAGAATTTTCTTTAAACAAAAAAAAAGACAGTTGCTAAATTAAAGAATATCTTTTCATATCATGCATGCCAAGAACTATATGGCTCTAGGCATAGATAATAAAATAATGAATAAAATGTAGAATTCAGTTTTTTTTTTTTTTTTTTTTTTTAATTCATCATCTGTTTTCATTTATTTCCATTGTACGAACAAAATATGGGCTATAAATGTCTAGAAGTCTTTCAAAACAAAGTACTTAAACTGTTTCAGGTGAAGTCTTATTCATCTTGCTAGCAAAATATCTAGAACACTCATTTCAGTGAATTCATTTGTATTAATATTTCTGCTTGTGTATTTTTTGCATGAAAATAGTTTTCTGCTCTGGTTGGGATGTATTTGAACTAGTTTCTTCCAAGCTTCAGCACAAGCCACAATACATAATTTCAAAATGTTTTCTCCATTTAAAATGTAGAATCTTTTTTTATTTTTTGTTAATGATTTTCTAATTTGTAATTTTTCTCAAACAGTAAATAAATTGAATTTTATAGAAAAGTAACTTTAAAATAATCTATTTTGTTCACTGAATGACCGTGTTTAATACCTGCTGTCAGTTCAGGATTGTGTAAATTGTTTTCGTCTTCATGTAGTTGTTTCAAAATATATTCCTTAACTTTACCAAAGATGCTGCTGTTGTAATAGGTTTCATTCTACTAAATGAAGCTAACAATTTAAAAGGCGACCCTGGCAAGAAAAAAAGTAAGTATCTTTTCTCTTTTTTTTTTTTTTTTTTTTCCTAATAACTTTTATTTTTCACCAAATGCTTTTCTGGTGATTTAAACATTTGAAGGAAGTTGATGTAATTCTATGAAAACTGTTTTATTTTCTCTCTGTTTTAATTACCATATTTAATGACACACATTATATATGACCAAGGAAAAACTAGATGTTCTTTTATCTGATATATTCAAGGAATATTCCAGAGATATTCTGGTACTTTACAATAGTACAGAAACAGCATTATCTTCAGCTTTTTCTTTTTTAATGTAAATAATTATTTTTTGTTTTGCCTCTTTTGGGGGAAAGTATCATCCTGTACATTATGAAAAAGGCTAATAAAATTTATGTATGTAATAAAAATTTGTAACTGTGGGCTTTGTCTTATTAATAAATTCTTTTCTTGCAGTTATGGCTTTAGTTGGAGTTGGCTGTGTAGCTTTCTTCTTCAGCTTATTGCTATCAATTTTCCGTTCCAAGTATCATGGTTATCCATATAGGTAAGTCATTTGAAATTGAAATACAACTGCTATTTTTTCTCTCCCTCTCTCTTCAGAGAATTTGAATTGTTGTAAATCTGGAAGTTTACTTTCTAATTGTATCCAAAGTATTTCTGACTTGCACTTTTTCATCAATGTTGTCTTCTTTCATCTTTTAAATATTCATAACTTGTTGATACTTTACTGTATAAAAAAACATTTTCATGATAATATCAAAGTTCTACAAACTGAAAGTAATGTTCTTGTTCACCTACTTAAAAATAATTTTAGTTTTTAATAATTAGAAAAATTAGTTTAAAAAAAGGTGGGTGGGGGGCGAGCATTACTGGGTGTAAAAGCAAAATTGTACATTTGTTAGATTAAGCTCTGAACTGTTGTGTCTGAGAATAAGATATCTTACTGAAATTCTCCGAGCTTTTTATAACACTATTTGGACTCTACTTTGAGCAATAAGAATGTATAATTACTCTCCAAGCTTAAGAGAAATATCATGATGAAATCAATCATAAAGAAAAATGACATGTCCATCATTAATTTAATCATAGCTAAAGATCAGAAGCTCATGAAGGATTGAAATAAAGTTCAAATATATTATTCCAGGATCATTTTTCACATTATTCAAGATGATTTTCACCCCTCTCTAACCTTCTAACTTTCTGTCTTGTTGTAATATTATGCCTCACAGGTTTCACATACAATTTCATTTTCAAGTCTTTTTCTTTTCATTGCTCTTTGGACTGTCATAGCTGAAACTCCTCTCTCACATGCCAAACATATTATGAATTGAGTTGGATCTTTTCTAATTGTTCTCTTTAGCTCTAAGTTGAAATGATGATCCCTCTTTCTGTTGTGACCTCCTGATCCAGTTTTCCTCTCTGCTGTTCCCTCTTTTTTAAACTTATTCACTGTCCTCTTAATGCTACTTGAATGGACTTTGAAGATGGAAGCCATAATATGAATGTTGGTACCATTACTGAAGGCCTGAATGATCTTTTTCTTCTCACCATTGCTCATTTGGGAAGACAGACACAGAATGATTTTAACCTGTTTTCTTTCTAGATGAATAACTCAAAGGGTTTTTCAGTTATTCTTACAACAAATGATGTCAAGATGGCTAAAAGTCTTATTTGAAAACATGGAAAAAAGAAATTCAATTAGTTTAGTGTTTTTTTTTTGTTTTTTTTTTTTGTTTTTTTTACATATTAAACATTTTGAGGGATGGACGATTTTGCTGTTACACTCAGTATAATAGCAATGGTCATATGGGATGCCACTTGTTCAAATAACTAGTTCAATAATTGTATTCCTTTTTTTTTTTTTGTTAAGGGTTGTTTTGTTGAACAAATAGCTGGTTATGTAATTTTATACCACTTGCCAAGCTCTCTTTTCAAGAGTCATATAAGGTCAAAAGGTATGCACTGGAGCTGTGACAGTTCAAAAGTCTTTGCATGACTTTGTAGGCAATGAATTATTTTTTCCACCTTACAATCTCTTTCCTACAGGCACACCTTTGCAAGCTGTTGTATGTTATCTCTGTATACTTAATCAAGTAGAATATAAGACCAGAGCATCACCACTGTTGTTAAATTAGAATTATCAAAATGGCGGGAAAGTTTGTTAGAAACAAGAATGCTGAACTGCCATATAATATCAGTTGTCCCATATGGCAGTGACTGTTGGACAATTTCTTTACAAATAAAGAGAATTGAAGCAATGGATGTGGTTATATAAAAGGATATTGAGAAAACCATTGATAGAATATGATAGCAATGAGGAACTTTTAAGGAAAATGGGAATGAAAAGGACACTTGCACTTAGAAAGAGTTGATATTTCTAGAACACATAACAAGCAAAGAGGGCTTGAAAAATTTGTTACATTCAGAACATATTGAATGCTGGGGGAATCAGTGGGTTACCTACTGAACAAGCATGTGTCAGTGGATGGCAGAACAAGAACTGGGATGGATATACAGAGGACAAACATTACTTAGAGCTACAAAAGAAAGGAAGTTGTGGGGAGCTATGATTGCCCACACCCTGAAGAGACTTGCTATATAAAAGAATTCCACATTGTGAATAATGTTATAAATAATTGGTGATAAATAAAATCAGGTAAATGTGGAGATAATGATTAATGCAATCTGCTGCAAAGTATTAACATTTATTCTTTATACCAGGCAAGGAAGAGCCTTTCTTCTGTCAGCAGACAAAAATTATTACTCAATTAAATTGATATATGACAAGGATGAAAATAAATTTCTTGAATTAATAAATTCATTGTCCCAGTGAAATATTATAATCTAATAGATGAATTGTTGCAAAGACTTCTCAATATTGTAGCCTCAAATCTGCACAACTGCCACAGTAATAGTTCACAAATAAACAATGTGCTAATTTTTTTTAAAAAAATGGTGGTTTTGAAATAAGGTTATTACTATTCCTCATTAATAAATAAATAAATGTAAAATGTTATTTCTGTTCTCAAAGTCTAAATAATACAAGACATTCTAAGATTTAATTTTTTTTTTTTAATCATTTCACCCAAAACAAGGCAGTAAAGCTCACTAAGACCCAAGCAGTTACTGAGTGTGAGAGAATATGAACATAAAGAAAACATTAGGGAGAGAGAACAATAAAAGAACAGGAATTAAGAAGACAGAAGATAACAATTGACATTGTATTTAAATTTTTGAAAATCTAGCTTTACTGGAAAGGAAGAAGCTGGAAGAGACTTCATGAGTGAGAAGTGTGAGAGAAGAAACAGTTAGCATGGAACTTTTGGTTACATCTTGCCATTTCAACTGTAAAATGATGAGACCTTGCCAACAATCTAGTACTATACTTAAATTCATAAAGACTAATTACCATAGAGGAAGATTCATCCGAACAGTTACCAAGAAAATGTTTATAGAAAAGGCACAGGGAAGCCATCTTCTGGCACTGGGAATGTGACTGAGGCCGAGATGAAGTTACTTGAACATAAATTTTTTTTTTTTTCTTTTCATTTAAATGTAATGATGTAATTATTATTATTCAAATGAATTCAAGTTAGCACACAGTGGTGAAGAATTAAGTGTTGTACTTTACCAGAATTCCTAAATTGGTCTTTGAGAGGAGCATTAAAAGAATGCAGTTTGAATATTGTTGAAAGAGATAGGTGTTTACTAATTTGATGAAATTAAGCATTTGCTCTTAAATCAGTTTTTACTGAAAATATCATAAATCCTATTTAAGTATTCTAATGAATATCTGGATGTTCAAGTATTGTAACAATTATTGGCATAGAAGAAATTGATGAGCTGAGTTTAAATTAGATCCTTATTGCATTCACTTTCACACTAATGCTTTTGCATAAGGGCATGAATTCATCTCTTCTCACTGCAGCTGTGAGTTAAATAGATGGGTAGACTTCTTTTTTTTTCTTTTTTTTTCATAGCCTTGGGTGGGTGGCACCAATCTAGAAAAAGGAAAAATCTGAATTCTAGAACAATTAAAAGACAATTGGAAGACTGTGAAGTTGATTTATTTTTATGGCTTATCAACGTTTGTAGGTTATTTAAAGCTGAAGCATATTTGGGATTTTAAGAATAATTCCTTTTTATTTATTTGTGCCTGAATATTGCATTCATTTTTTTTTTATTTATTTTTTTTTTTTATTAAGAGTAACAATGATTTTTCCTGCTACAAGACCTACTATTTAAATCCATAGCTGGAATAATGAGGGGTATTTGTACATAGGTGAATGTAACTCATTTGCAGAAAATCCTAGTAATTCAGATAATAAAGAAATCTGTGGAGAGTCATGATTGCCTACATTCTGAATAGACATGGTATAAAAATTAAATGAAAATATGAGGTTAGCTTTTCTTAATTTTTTTTTTTTTTTTTAATTTTTCTAATAAACCAAATATATTTGGCCCAAATATTAGGTATGTGTAAATATGGGGACAAAATAGATGCACCTGCCACATTCATATTTTCATTTTTTTTTCTCTTTTTTTTTTTTTTTTTTTTAGTTATTATGATTTTATACAGGAAAGGTATGAATCCATCACCTTTTTGAAAAAGGAATAAATATTTATTTGTTGGTTAGAAAGTTTTAACATTCTTGTTCAGTAAATATAGAAAAAATTTAATATAATTTTGTCAATATGCAATTGTTATGAAATTCACTTCTATCATTTACAAAACAGCCTGTCATTGTTTCTGAGGTCACTGTAATAAGTTGACATCATTTTGTTCAATGTTGTCTATATAACAGACAAAATGTGCTTTTTAAAGAAAATAAGATGTTACAGATATATTGATTTTCACTGGGTGTATTCTGCTTTCTACAATTTTAAGCATTTTTGTTTTACTACAGTTTGTGTACACTCTACATCTTATGCCTTGCAAGCATTATCAACCATTTATCTCTTCTCTGCTTGTGACAGCATTCTTTGTTGATATGTTCCTGTTTCTAATTTATTTTTTTTTTATTTTTTATTTTTATTTTTATTTTTATTTTTTTTATTTAAGACAGCTTCTTTTTATTGTGCCATTTGATTTGAGATTTCTATTTACATACCTTGCTATAGAATCTGCAGCAAGTTGACTGATTGCTAATTTGGGATTGTCTGTAGAATTACAAAGTATTGATTTGTGCAATAAATACCATCTTTATGATGGATGTGTATCTCTGGAATATTGTGCTTCATTTCACAGAACTTATTGTCTGGAATGAGCCATTCAGTGATTTCTCTTTGACCCTGGCTGCTGCTTGTATTATATAAGACACACAAAGAAAATGGATCAGAAGTCATGAAAGGATTTTTTATAATGAATGATGTGATGTGTGGGTGGAATATTTTCTTGGTTTAGAAGTAAAACATCCTGGAAATATTTCATATGGGTTGGGGTGCAAAATAACTTAAGAAAAAGTACTTCTTTTTTCTTTGTCTTTTTTTTTTTTTTGTAATCTTTTTATCCAATAAAGATTGTCAGCAAAAATCCAAGCTGTCTATCCAAAGCCTGCAAGTGTTTATTAAGCTTAGCTTAATCTGGCTTGGTGTTCAATAGTGTGGCACTAGTGTGGCACTCAGTGAGGATTAAACTCACTCACAATAGCTTGGGAGAAAAAATTAGAAATCAAAACTTTACATCAATCACCATAACAATATAGGCAGCTGATATATAAAGATGACTTTGTTAAAAGCTTTTTTCAGGTCTTTTATTTATCACTTGTAATTTGATAGATCTTGAATTCATCTTGAATGCAAATTGATGAAAATGGATGTAAACATTTTAATCCATTGTAAAGGGGGTAAAAAGGAAAGAAAATGGTAGCTCCTGTTTTTTTCAATAACATTTTAAAAATTAATGCTAAAGTATTTGTCACTTAGCAATGTATGGTTGTTTGAAAACTAATAATAGTGTGTGTGTGTGTGTGTGTGTGTGTATATATATATATATATTTATGTGGCTGTTATTTTTCTGTTACACAATGCAACAAGTTGCATTGCATTATTTTTGTTGTCAATAGAATGTTTTAAAAATAAACTTTGGTTAGCATCTCTCACCCTCTCTCATATATATATATATATATATATAGTTATCCACAGACAGTTTCACTGTATCACAGCTCATCAGTATGGCTAGACATCCAATTGCTTCAAGCTGTGATCAAATCTTGGCTGATTTGACATCAATCAGAGACTATTACCCCAAGGCTATCAGCGCATGGCAGAGAAAGGGAATTTTTAATGCATTATATACATGATATATAGACACCATGCTGGCCACCATAACACTCAATTCTTACAAAGAGTGATGCATTAAAGCAGTGGCACCCGTTAAAAATTCCCTTTTCTCCATAGTGCTCAATTGGCAAACGAGAGCATAAATATATACTTGATAGTTCTGTTGCATTATATTAAGTACTGTTTTATTCACACCAGCACTATATGTTTGATATATATATATATATATATATATATATATATATATATATATATATATATCTATCATGTTAAGGCATATTTAGTGTATGCACAAGGATGTCTAGTCAAACATGTACCTACTAAATATGTTTAAAAGAAATAAGAAATGTCGGATTATGAAGAAAATCTATTAATTCCTTAGAAATTCTATATACTCATACACAGCTGGAAGAACTCTAGATTGTGTTAAACTTAAGTAGCATCAGACTTGGATATACATTTTTTTATAATCTCTTAGCTTTGTTTTCATTAAGAACTTTCTATCTGCTGGGTTTTTGAAAAAATGATCCAACCAACTCTCAATAACAAAGAAATTATATATATATATATATATATATATATATATATATATATATATATATATATAAAAAGAAAGGGAAAATTATTCTCAGCCAACATGTTTCATCCTCTGGGGGACTTTATTAAGGCAAATCAATCTTCTTGTAACTCAGTTTCAATCAAAAAATGGCCACAGGTGACCCTTTCAGAAAAATCACAATTGTTCTTTGATAAAATCTATTGATAAATCACAAATATTAGACATGTATCTTTTAATAGTTTAAGATCAGAGGATTGTTAAATTTTAATGTTTTGCAATTTTTGATGTGAAGAGCTTGAATGCAAAATGCGATAAACACCATTTTCAAAATTTTTCAGTTAACACTACCAAGGGTTTTGCATTTTATCATTCTACCACACATCAGAATCATTTTTTTACTTTTAAAAATCTGTTTTGTTGCAAAACGCAATAGGTACCATACAGGATTTACTGCAAAACCCGATATGTCCATGACAGATTTAGACATAAAGAATAAACAACCTTAAAGTTGAAAAAAGAAAAAAAACCCAGAAATATCAAGTTTCAACCTCCTATTTTAAATAAAATTAAATGTTTAATATCTTTTCATTAAACAAATAATAAACAAAATAAAAATAAACATTGTTATTGTTCTGTGAGTCACAGTAATAAAGCTTCACGATTATAAAATGTGAATACATATTTCTATAGTCTAAATTCACTTAGACTATTTAACATTTGAAAGAATTAAAGTTGATAAAGATTTTTAGTAGTTAATAACATGGTATTGCAGTTTGAACAAGAAACAGTAGATAATAACTATTTATAAAAATCACCCTACAATTTTGTTTACACTGAATTTAAAAGTTCTGCTTTATTCATTTGTTTTTGATACCAGTAATTTAATTTTGACTGCAGAGAGCTATAAAAAAATTATAGCTATATATTTAAATATTGTGTTGTTAAAAAATTTAAAAAATGGTGGTTTATTTTAGGGAATAAACATCTAATATTGGTATTTTCTGTAACTTATGTTTAAAAATGATAAATTACACTGTTTAGAATTTTTGTTAAAAAAAATCTTAATTGTAACTTGCTAGCTTAAAAACAAATCATACATGAGAGAAAACATAATAAAAATAAAACACATTTTTACTAGATTTTTGTAATTTGAAGTCGGAGATTTTGCTTAATACTATGTCCGCACACTGTTCATATAAAGTAACCACAATGTAATTCAGTCAGTTCACCCAGTAACCTTAAACCACAAAGGACCACCTCGTGTCACAGAGCAGGTTTTTATGCACCATTCTTTAAACTGACCATTTTTTCTTTTTTTTTTTTTTTTTTTTTCTTGTGTTTTGGTTTCATATGAAAAAAAAAAATTCAGTGCATTTTATTTCCTAATATAATCTGTATACAACAAACATTTCTCCTTGAATCAAAATTAATAATTACAATGATAACAAGGAACCAGTTCTTGTTTCTCCAGTGGGTAGGAAATGGAGTATCACAAACAAGAAAAAAATGAGAAAATGTGACATTCTGGTGGATGTAAAATGTCGGCAATTTCTTGTTTGCACACCAAAAATACTTCCAACTCTTGCTATGTTGATCAACTGACTACTGACGATCTTCTTAAACACTTTGAGTCCTATTCTTGAAAAACTAAAATTGAGCAGGACCAAACCTGTTTGGACCTTATAACAATTTAGCAAGTGAAACGCCGCCACCTTAAAGTTAAAAAGATTGGGTATTTGGTTGTATCCCAAATCACACTTTTGGCGATAATGCTGCATATGTCTACACTTTCTTATCATAATTGTCCTTTTTTTTTTTTTTTTTTTTATAGCAATATTTTGTGTTAAGTAGAAACATAGTTTATACAGATGTAATGGATTTATCAGATTTTGCAAAAAAATATACTTTCAATGAAAATACACTTTTACAATTAGTCTAGATTTAAAATTTCTGTCTTTTTATAGTCAAATAGTGATATATTAATGTTTAAAAAAAAAAGTGGATTTTAACCAATCATATTTGAGTTATAAAAAATGTCTTTTACGCAGTTTCAAGAAATTGAATTTATCGCATTTTGCATTCAAGCTTCATATATTCTTACATGTCTGAAGATCATGTGATGATTTCATTTTGTGAACAATCTTTTGTCTAGGGTTAAAACATATTTCTTGAACAACTTGTCATACTGAAATCATGATTTTATTGATAGTGGCTCATTATAAATTTTATACTTAAGAAAATATGAAGCTGAAACTTGGTAGGTACCCTTGTAATTTTCTATGCTAATAAACTCTTGTTGACTTCATTTTAGCTTTGTTCCAAATAGTTTAGATGCATCAGGCCATTAAAAATGTTTCTTCAAATAGTCTACAAGGACATTAAAATAAGGATTTCACTAAATTATTTTAATTTTAATTACAAGTCAAAATAGTGAACATGCATCACAATTTGTGTTCATGTTAAGAAATTTTATTGATACTCAAAAATATACATAAATCAGGATCATTATTAAGACAAAAATGACATTAAGGATATTTTTAAAGAAAATATTTAGGCTTAGTGATAAAAGTCAATACTTTGTTATAAGTCAGCATTTTAATTAGCAATCTTTAATATTACCTTGATTCTATTATGAATTTTTTTAAAAATTTCATTTACTGTATCATTTTGTGTAAAATGTGCATAAAAAGCATTAAAATCTTTTCTGCCTGTAAAATTACACATCATTCTTATTCAGTAAAATATAAAGTTCTAAATGCTCTTTGAAAGCATCATAGCAGTAAGATTAAAAAGTGAAAAAAATATTTTGAATAAAGTTTGTTCTGTGCAAAAACTGGCACCTGATTTTAAATCTGTTAAAGATATTAAGATACAGATCTAATATTTGGGATTTATCAATAAATTTAATCAAAGAACACCTGTGAATTTTTTTTCAGGGGGTCACCTGTTGCCATTGGTTGATTTGAGATGGAATGACCTGTGTGTGTGTGTTGATATTCTTTTCATTCAACTTTATTATATTTCTATACCTTTTTTTTTTTTTCTTTCAGCTTCTTATTCAAATAAGAATGTTTATGTGCTGAGGCTGTGTGTGAGCAGTGATTGCCAAAACAACTGAATGAGTGTGGATTGGTGACTGCACATCTTACCAATTCTGCTGTTGCTGCACTAATTGGGATCCCAGAATCAGGAATTCTGTAATTTTCTGACGTCTTTTACGGAATTTGGCACAGTTGATATTTTTATTTTTTTTAATGTTCCCATTTTGTTATTTTCTATTTCGATCCTCATGAAACTTATCATTGTTCAAATAAAAGAAAAAGTTGATACCGGTTCAAACCGATATCTTATTTGGTCATAATTCTTCTTTTTTTTTTTTTTTTTTTTTTTTCCCCTCTTCTTTCCCTCATCTCTTTTACAGCCCAATTTGGAATGTGTACATATTCAGACTGATTTAAATCATCTTCACATTTACAATTGTTTGTATTTTTTTGATCTTTTACTCATTTATTTATTTTTCTTTGTTTGGTTTGTTTATTTTGAATTTTGTTTTCATTGTATTGTTAATTGGTTGTCTCCAATTATTATTTTTATTATATTTACTTCATTTTAGAGAGATTCTACTATTAGTGCTTCTATAGTTTCACTATTTTATTTTTGTCTCATATTAAGAAATGTCATGGTAATTAATCAAGGGAAAAGTATTTTATTTGTATTTATATAGAAACATTTTTATTTGTTTATTCTTTTATGTTTCTTTTAATTACACTCCAAAAGAAGTTAACACCAAAATATTCAAATATTGCACAGTGTATGCAAGTAAAATTATTTTCTCTTTATATTCAGGCATATTTTTTTATAAATATCAAATATATTATAAACGGTAATGGGACCATTATTAGAGTATGTGTGCGTTTATCGTTGACTATCAATGTCTTAGACTTAGGTATCAGCTGTGGTGACTTATAATTTCAGAAGATAACATCATATATTTTTGTATTATAGATGAATCAGTGAAACTCTCTTGATGTTCAGTCAAGTGTAATGGGTACAAAAAAAAATTGAATTAAAATAATTATTTGCATCTCAGAAAATAACAAGATATGATTTTTAACTTCTTAAAAATAAAGACCTTTAACAAGATCAGAGGATCCATTTCTTATATATATATATATATATATAAAACTTGTACAAGGTTGATTTCTTTTCTTCCTTTTGTGGTAAGTAATAGATGTAAATATTTTAAAAATCTCTATCTTTGTTAATTTAATACATTATTTCTTAAGCAAAACTAAACGTAAGATTCTTTTTATATTTCTTTCTGTTTGTATATTTCAAGGTAACACTATAGCTACCTATTGTATCCAACAAAGCAATTTCCAAAGAATGAATTTATTTTTAATCTGATATTTTTATTACTTCAAACATTATTTTAAGTGGATATCCATGTTTGAATAAATTTCCCATTTCTAGCAGTGTGTATTATGTCTACCAGACAGAGCACTTGAGAAAATGTAAGAAAATGTGCCCTCTGGCAGGGTTGGAACCTGTATCCCTCTTTGTAGGTGAAACCACTTTCTGATCCAACATGCTTTAGACTGTTTGGCTACAAAGTATGTCACAGCCTAGCAAGGAAGTTTTCTTGAGTCTGCAGGCCAATAGATGTAATACACTGTTTTTTTTTTTTTGTTTTTTTTTTAAAAAAACAACAACAGGGCGTCTCTTCAAATATGGTTATCCTCTAAAAATAACATTTGAAGTAATAAAAATAGATACTTAATTAAAAGATAAGTCAAATCAGATTGTTATTAATATCATTTATATTCTTGAATACTTAAGCTTTGTATAATTAAAAAAAATAAAATCATTAATTGCCTCAACATAAGATTGGCTGAGGAATTGGAGTTTGCTAAGATGTGAAAATAATTTGGTAGAAAAATCACAAAAATAGGTGAAATAAGGGATTACATAACAGAACAAAAATATCCTTCTCATTTCTATTTCTTCAACAAAAACAGCTATTTCTGATATAGTTATCTTTGTCTTTTTAATCAGTCTTGAGTGAAATATAAGACTGACTTAATTAGTGAATTTAAAATATATTTAAAACTAATTTTGTGTCACTTCTGTTTCTACTTCAGTAGTGTCTTTAAATGTCTTCTCCAGGCAATAGGATTAGATGGTGTTGTTTATTGTTTTAAAACTGATGGAAGAAACAGCAAAGTCTAAACTTCTCAAAGTGTGTCAAGGATGTTAGTTTTTAAAGAATGTGTAAGAGAGCTCTCAAACACTTGTGGTGACATAAGTTTCTGTCACGATGAAACTGCTCTTCTATAAATTCTAATTTCTGTTTGGTTTCTTCCCTAAATCTCTGTTCAGTTGACAAGCTGTCAGCTATTTTGATATGCTGTAAAAACCTACTTGCAATTTATTGTATTCTATGCACACATGTGCATTAAATAAAACTGTGATTTAAAAAAAACCATGTATATATTTTCTTTTAAATCGGTTTAAGTATTGTATGCGACATCTACAGGTTTCAACAGCCATGTGACATATTTATCTCCTATCCTCCATTCAGTCTTTTTTTTTTTTTTTTTTTTTTTTTTTCTAAAAAAAAAAACCAAAAAAATACTTTGAAATTTCTTAAACTGGGTAAGATTACCCCAGAGGCTGGATTGGTATGATACAATATCTTTTACTGTTATTTTTCTGACAGTAGATAAAAAATTTCAGTCTTTTGTTAACCTGATGGATTTTTAATAAATGTTGACCCTGACATACATCAAATCTTCACAACATACAGGTTACTTGCTACCGCTTGAAAAAATAGAAAGAAAAAAAAAAAAGACAAACAAACAAGAAAAAAGCCATAATTGAGTTCTCTTTTGGCTGAAAGTTCACAACCATCACTTTCCTTATTCTCCTCCTCCTTTTATTGTACACTTTTAATCGACTTTATACCTTCTTTTTTTATGATGCCTTTAAATGTTTGTAAAACAAGTGGCAGACAATATCATAAACATTGTCTAAAATATTTTAGAAATAAATTAATCTTTCACTCTTCCTCATAATTATTAGAAATCAAAATTTTAATATTTAATTATTATTTGAAAATCTTAGTTGTTTTTCCTAATCTCAGACTACATTTAATGAATGTAATAAACTTGGAAATTGAGTCCTTGTTACTATATACTAAGCAGAAGTGGTAAGAAAATATTGAATATGAGGAGTGATTCATTTTTTTCACTTTCCTGAAGAAAAGGATTTGATTTTTTTTTTTTTTTTTTTTTTTTTTTTTTTTTTTGACTGGTAAGCTACAAATTTCTTATAGCAGGAATATTTTTGATTACATCACTACAATGCCAGGAATTTAAGTTAAGAAATGACTTCTGGAAGTAAGTATATTAATTTTCCGCTTGTTATTTTTTATTTATTTATTTTTTAATAGATTTTCAGTTCAAGATTTTTTTTTATTTAATCAAACAAGTTTCAGATATTCACCTATTAATGCAGCTGTTTCTACTTGTGGTCTGTAAAATCCTCCCACAAAATTCATTAACTCTACCTTCATGGCACACACATTGACTTATTAATAATTCCAGTCGAATGGAAAAGCTCATTCAGTAATAATAAGGTTTAAAACTAAACCTTCAAGAAAACTGATGTTTGCTGAAGTCAGTATTTACTGTTGGATATTTTCTTACAACCAGGAATTACAAAATATGATTAAGCAAAGAATGTTTCAGACAAAGAATTTTCTTGAAAGTATTGGGCACCCAGTGAGGATCAAACTCATTACTCAGTCATAATTGTTCTAGTGAGACAAGCTTATTAACCATTTCAACACCTCGATGTGCCCTTATAGCGATTTTTCTACGCACAGCTTAGCTGTAGCACACAGCTGAAAGTATTGGGCACCCAGTCAGGATCAAACTCACTACTCTGTCATAACTGATCTAGCAAGACAAGCTTTCTAGCCATTATACCATGTCAAGGTGCCCAAGTGTGTGTATATGCATGTAAAATTTTCTTATTTTACATATGTTCCACCCTTATACAAAGCCCAGGAGCCAGTCAAGATAGAGGGTTGTTATGTAAGAGTAAAAAGTGAAGTTTATGAATATATGTGAGAAAGATAACACTTACTCATAGATTTGAAGAGGTTAAGATTGTAGTCGTCAGGAAAGCATCCACTCAGAAGTCTGTTCCACAAAGTAGCAGTTTGAGTGGAACTTTCTTCTTACTAATGGAATATAAAGGAAATGAAGATAGTTTGTTTCAGTGCATGTGGCATGGTGGATATTAACTGATGATTAGAAGTGGTGGGAATGCTGCTTGTCAGAACATTTTCAATGGAAATAACAATAGAGAACTCTTGTATGGTGCAAAATAATTCATCACCCACAAAGTTGTGTAGATGCTTTATCTATCAAAACTGAGCAACTCCAACCCAGATATAGCAGCAGTACTCCATTTTCGGTTTGATCTGGCTCTTGTAAAGGTAGAGGCTCTTGTCATCTAGATTTTTGGAGGTGCACCAATATACCATTGTGTCAACTGCATGGATATTCACTAAAGATCTTATCGTAGGCAGATCATTAATATAATGAGGATTGAGAACCAAACTTTGGGAATGCCTGCATTGATCTCCTGGGCCTTGGAAGACTGACCATTAACAATGACGTGAACAAACTTACCTGTTAGCAAGGATTTGATAAATGAGAAAATTCTTCCAGAGTCTCCATAGTTGTAGAGTTAGCAACCTTGATGCCACACTTTGTCAAAGGTCTTTGATACATCTAAAGTGCTTATCCTCGCAATGCTTTTATTGTTTAATGTTTTACTGATTCTGTGTGTATTGGCAGGATATCAGCAGTGGACCTAACCGAGTAAAATCTATATTGTTTGCCCTTTGTTGAGGTGATCAACAATCTTCTTGTTGATGATAGCCTCAAAGAATTGGCTAATGACACTGAGGAGGCTTATATTGCAACAGGAATGAATGCTGTCCCACATCCGTGAAGACAGAACATGATATTGGTTATGTTCCATGGACACTGGGA